TCTGGCTCCATATATGACCACTTCCTATGTTCTAGGCTAATATCTTGAATACCAGTTACCAGAGAGTGCTTGCAGGTTTCCCACAGGCCTCTGGTTGGCCACTGCAGGAACAAGTTGCTGCAATAGATGGACCACTGGCCTGATCCAGCAGGACTTTCCTTATGTTCTCAGAAGTTCATATGGTCACATTCATGTCTCCCACTATGATGAGATGCATTTAAGTTCTACTCATATTAAAGAAGTTACTGTATTTCTAAATCTGTATCCATATGTATACATTAGGACATTTTGGAGGGGAGTGTTGCAAATCAGTATTATCTTCTTTTGTGGCATTGTGTAACTTTGCATGCTGGAGGAGCCCCATGCGCCATCCTTGGCATCTCCGGAAAAGGATGTCCCATGGCTGAGAAAGTCACACACACCCTACAGACAGTGTCAAAAGAGGTACCAGAGTTCCCAGAGCCAGAGTTACTATAAGACTGTTTCATATAATAAGTCTTAATATAAGACTGTTTCATAATATAAGACTGTTTCATATAAGCCCATGAGAGAGTGGGTTGCAGCAAATGGGAAAAATTATAGTTGAGTGGTGGAATACATCACAAAACTTTGCATGCAGAAGGTTCAGTCCCCAGGGATGAAAAGCATCTCAGCAGAGAACTAGGAAAGACTTCCCTCTGCCTGAGCCTCTACAGAATCAACAGCATTCAGAGCATGTCTGATATTGATCTACATAAGAGGTTGAGAACCTGTGGATCTCCAGATGTTGGACTCCAGTTCGCACCACCATCCCTGGCCATTATCTATGCTAGCTGGGGCTGATGAGCCCTTGGACTAAAATGGAGCATCGGGTATGACGAAGCATAAAGCAGCATCAGAGATCTGAAAGTTTTATTTGCCAGAGCTGCTCCAGCTCCTGCCATACACTTATCAATTCATTAATTTTGATAAGGTAACCCACTTCTTTAGCCTGCATATATTGTACAGATTAACTATCTTTGCATATTTCTGTTTCTTGTGCATGAGATTATTCTCCACCTACAATTAGGAGAAAGAGCAGAGAAGGGTGGTACAAGGCACCGAAAGTCTACTTGCAAATGACTGGAAATAATATTCTGCTCCTCCCTGACCCTGATTTCAGAAATGCCAAGGTACACACACTCACACACTTCCAAGATTGCCCTACGTTTGGACACATGACACAATACCCTCATTGAAGCTAAGCATGTCTGGACTTGGTTGGTGTGTGGAGGAGAGGCTACTTGGGCACCTCTGTATTTAATGCCTCTATGTTTACTAATATGTTTACTCTGTGTTTAAAGGTAAAGGTACCCCTGACCGTTAGGTCCAGTCGCGGACGACTCTGGGGTTGCGGTGCTCATCTCGCTCTGTAGGCCGAGGGAGCCGGTGTTTGTCCACAGACAGCTTCCAGGTCATGTGGCCAGCATGACTAAGCTGCTTCTGGTGAACCAGAGCAGTGCATGGAAATGCCGTTTACCTTCCCGCCAGAGCGGTACCTATTTATCTACTTGCACTTGATGTGCTTTTGAACTGCTAGGTGGGCAGGAGCTGGGACCGAACAACGGGAGCTCACCCCGTCATAGGGATTCAAACCACGGACCTTCTGATCGGCAAGCCTGATGCTCTGTGGTTCAGACCACAGCTATGTTTAATATGATGGTGGTGAGATAGATAGATAGATGATAGATAGATAGATAGATAGATAGATAGATAGATAGATAGATAGATGATAGATAGATAGATAGATAGATGATAGATAGATAGATAGATAGATGATAGATGATAGATAGATATAGATAGATGATAGATGATAGATAGATAGATAGATAGATAGATAGATAGATAGATGATAGATAGATATAGATAGATAGATAGATATAGATAGATAGATAGATAGATGATAGATAGATAGATATAGATAGATAGATATAGATAGATAGATAGATAGATAGATAGATGATAGAGAGATAGATAGATAGATGATAGATAGATGATAGATAGATAGATAGATAGATAGATAGATAGATGATAGATAGATAGATAGATAGATAGATTAGATAGATAGATAGATGATAGATAGATGATAGATAGATAGATAGATAGATAGATAGATAGATGATAGATAGATAGATAGATAGATGATAGATGATAGATAGATGATAGAGGAAGCTGATGGATTCTTAATTATATTGAATTTGGCATTCAGTACCAAATGAGGCAGTCAGACAGAGAACATAGGTTTTCTGATGGAATGCAGAGGGTGCTATAAAAGAAGCCACTTCCTCACTCCTTGGTGCAACTATGGGTTTGTCTACATTTGAACATTATTTAGCTATTAGCCCACTTTTCCCCATGTGAAGTAGACTGGAGTAGTCCACACCTGTGTGCATTTGAATTTGTATATGAGGAGCCACTTCAGTCATTCCTGATTATATGACTGGGCATTCCCTTTTGTGTTTGTTCCCAACATTCTTATTTGTTGATTTCATGATGTCAATTAAGTATCAACAGGGCATGTGTGCCGATAGTTGTGCATATATATATATTTTTTACTTCCCTGCATGAGAAGTGTCCAAAGCACACAGATATGCAATTGTAATATTGCTTGTGCATGCAGTTTCCCAGTTTCATGCATATCCGAGGGATCGAAAGGGGGTAGAGATTCCTTGAGTACAGCTGGTAAAGAAATGGAAGTATTGAGGAAGTAATGGGAATGGAAAAGGCAGTAGCAGAAAGTGGTCGTTTATTGCCCACCAACCCAAAAGCACTGAAACAAATAATCTGTGAACCAAGTAGGATACAAAAGGAAAACGCTGAGATTGGTATTGTTGGAAGGTAATGAGGATGCTGCAAATTAAATTGGGGACACAAACAGCTGCAAACACAAGGTAATTGTGGATGTGAACAAGGCCTGTTATTATGATGCTATCACAACAGCATCTGTGCTGTTTGCCATTATGACAGTTACAGGCCTGGGTGTGAGGACGGGAAGATAACAGGATTTGTGATCAGGTGGAAAATTGAGGCTGAGGGAGGGACTCTTCAGCACTGCCCATTCTATCATCTCCTTCCTTACTCAGACATTTCCTTCTTTCTTATTGTGACAGATTCTCAGCAAAAATTTGATGGAAGAACCACCACCAGGAAGGCAGATGCACTTCTTAAACTGCAGCCCACTGGTGCCTGTTCGCCTGATTTCTACAACATTGTACAGTTATGAATTGTATAATTAGAATTGTGCATTGTAAGCTGCCATAGGAAGATATTTACCTTGAAAAGCAACTTAAAAGATGTTTAAATACACAAGTGAAAACTCTGAACTGGAGAACCAGGCTTGTCACCATTTATTTTTTTCTGGCAAGGATTTAACGGTGGCACAGCAGGCAGAAATCCCACAGGGGAAGTTCCTCATCACTTCACCCACATACTGAGAAGGCAGTATTGCATAATGGGAGATGCAGACGCAAATCGCTGCTCCGCCATAAAGCTCACCGAATTACCGTGGACTAGTTACACTCTGTGTTTCGCCAACCACACAGGAATGTTGTGAACATAGAATAGGTTTGAAAGAACCACGTACGCTACCCTAAGCACCTTGCAGCAGGGTTAAAAAAATGCCACAGATAAATGTTGGGTGAACTTCACCAGTTGAATTTCTGCCTGCTTTGCATCTGTTAAAAGGCACTGGAGGCCTGCAAAGAAATAATGAAAAATGAATGTCGGACATTACCAATTGAGGGATGTCTCTAAAAAGCAGAAAACACCTGACATCTACATTATTGCAGATCTCTTAAAATCGGCATTCTCTTCATGGGGTTACTGATGATAACGTCCAGTGTCTATTTGGGAGCGCCCCCACCCAAAGATATTCACAGAGCTTTTGCCAAGGTGCCTTGGAGACATAGGGGCCCTGAGTGCCCTAGCACCCACAAAATTCCCCATGAGGGGCTGGGCACCCACAAATTCTGGTGCCAGGGTCATGCAAGCTGCATGGTGCTCACAGCCCTGGGCACCCACAGTTGGGGGCCAAGCAGACACTCCTGCTTCCAACTCCATAATTCTATCTTTTTTTGACCCTGTTGTGTGCTTCCAGCAAGGTGGAGGGCAGAGGACCCCTCAGCAAAATGATGCCAAATCCTTCTCCCACTTCCCCAGTTAAGCAACTTTTTGTACTGATGATGCTAACAGCTGTATGGCAGACAGACATTCACAGTACTGTATATATAACACAGCAAGTGTTGTAATTAAGAGAAAGTGCTGCAGTGTTTTTTGGCTCAAATGCCACCTCCTCTCCAGGACTTGCCTACCTTACAGGGCTGTTGTAAAGATTAGTAGAAATAGCAATGAGACCAAGGAAGAGATTTGCATAAGAAATAAGAACCGCAGCAACATTTCACATCATTGCATCTGCATACTGGAGGAAAATATAAAGCTAACATTTCAGGAAATCTGCTGGGGTGGGGGAAGGGGAAGAAGTGGTAATTGTTAACACAAAGCAATGGATTTTGCTAGCAGCTGCCAAGCTGGATCTAAAGAGAGCATAGTGTGGCATAGTGGTTAGAGCAGGGGTCAGCAACCTTTTTCAGCTGTGGGCCAGCACATTGTTTCTCCCCAAAGAATCCTGGCAACTATGGCTTACCCTTCTCATGGCTACAATTCAGCGGACCCTTAACAAACTACAGTTCCCGGGGTTCTTTGAAGGAAAATAATGTGCTTTAAATATATAGTATGCCAGCCCAAATAACTGTTCAAAGCCAGGCCAGCTCATAGAATCGTAAATTTGGAAGGGACCACGAGGGTCATCGAGCCCAACAGGTGGCGCGTTGGGGAAGTCGCTTTCCACAAGCTGTTGATCTGTGGTGGCAAACTGTCCTCCCACCTCAAAGAAAGGATAATCAAGGGAAGGGAGGAAAAGAGCAGAGGAAGAAGGGCAAGAGAGGAAACCCTCTCATCTTTGAAACCAAAAAGGTGGTACTTACTTGTAACCTCAGCGGCAGTGGGTCTCTTCTCCAAAGGTGTCTTCAAGCATTTAACAGGACTCCTGCCCTCACAGCTGTGGCTGGAGCAGTGCTCTCCCTGCTAGTCCTTATGCGCTCAGCGGCGGAGGTGTGGGCAAGCCAGAATGCGTCCCAGACAGCTAAGGCTGCCCTTGCCAAAAAAAGAGGCCCAGCCTTGTTATGGGAGGGAGATGACAATGTGGGTGTGTGTTTTTTTGCCCTTCAGGGGATCAAACAGGTTTCTCTTTCCACAGCAGAAAGTCTCCCCCTCCTTCTCTCTCTCTCTCTCTCTCTCTCCCCCCTGCACTTCGGCAAAGAGGTGCCTCTCCCTAGTACATTCCTTACATTCTCTGCCCTCTGTCGCTAGAGACACCCAAGGCTGACAAGGAGAATTGGAAACCAAGTCACGGTAGCACTTTTTTTTCTGCTTTTGCCAAATTCTGTATGGGGAGTAAGGCTTGGCGCTCAAGGAGGGTTCACAAACACCCATCTTGAGAATCAATTCCCCCTTCCTGTTCTGTACAATTATTCAGCTGCTGTTAACTAAGGCCTACAAACCTAAAGTGCCCATCAAGGGATGGACACATAGCTCTCACGCGAATCTCCACACCAAAAAGTTAATAAAACCTTCATAGACAGGGCTATTGAGAAATTAGCTGTATTATTTTGCTTAAAAAAATTGCTGCATTTCTATACTTTAGGGAACTTATTTCTGTAGGAACTTGGGAACAGAGGAAGCTACCTCCTGCCGAGTTCGGACCATTTGGTACATCTAGCCCATTATTGTCTACACAGACTGGCAGCAACTCTCCAGGGTTTCAGGCAGGATCTCTCTCCTCCCGTAAAGATACAGGAGATTGAACCTGAGACCTTCTGCAAGCAAAGTAGATGCTCTGGCACTGAGCTATGGTCCTTTCCTGAAAGACATATGAACATAGAAAGCTGTCTTATACCAACTCAGACCATTAGCCCATTTAGCTCAATATTGTCCACACTGACTGGCAGCAGCTCCTCAGGATTTCAGGCAGGGTTCTCTCTCAGTCCTACCTAGAGGTGCCAGGATTAGAACTTGGAACCTTCTGCATGCAAAACAGGTGCTTAACTACTGATCTACAGATTTTAATGGAAACCTTCTTCGCACTTCCCGGACCAATATGTAAACTGAAACATGGTTAGCCTTTGAAATTTGCACTTCTACACATTTTGTGATGCTGTTCTCCAAACCAAAAAGTGCACACAAGAAAAGAAAAGAAAAGAAAAGAAAAGAAAAGAAAAGAAAAGAAAAGAAAAGAAAAGAAAAGCATTTATTAGGATAAAGTGCGCACACAAAGTGTAAGTATGGATTTTCATGTTGGATTTTAAAAGTCCACAAAGAGGGGCAAAAATGTGGTTTTCCAAAGAATGTAAAAATGAGAAACTAAGGAAAACATTAACAGCTGATTCTTAATGTTCATTTTCTCTCCCCGCTTCATTTTTCTGTTCACAAGGAAAATCCAGAAAGTTGATATAAAATATGCAATTGCTGTCATTTTTAAATGGTTTTCCATATAACTGCGTTTTTTTAAAAATATATATCTGCAGCTGTTTTGTTCCTATCTATGTAATTATTTTATACATGTTTTAATTGTATTTTAAATTTTTTTTGAGATCATTGGAAACAGTTCATAAATCAAGTAACAACTACAGCAACAGCTGCACCAACTGCTACTACTAAAAGTGTTGCTGGTCCACCATTCTCAAATACTCTTCCAGCAACAATTGGGCAGTCATCCTCACTTTTAATTTTCAGGCGTATCTCGAAGACTTTTTGTGCCAACAGATCCTTCTGTACTGCTTTTCAAGGTTTTTATTTTTAGGTTGCTATACCCTGCCCTGATGTTTTGTGAGAGGGCGGGATATAAACACTTTCATAAATAAAGCATGATGCCATTAAAGGTTTGAGAAAGCTTGAAGCTCACGTATAACAAGAAAAACCAAAGCAACCTCTTGACTCCCCCCTCCACAAATCCAAGTGCCAGTTTATGGCATGCCAAGTAAAGCCTAGTTCATTAGACATGCATAGAAGCCTACTAGAGACAATCCACTTTTCATTTGGCTGCCTTCCTGGAACTGGACAAAGCAGGTGAGCTGTCCATCATCTGGCCATTGGCAATGGCATGAGTACTGGGCCCCATGTGACTTAAGGAGCCAACAGTTTTGTGGACATGATTTGCAAAATGTAGAGGTGCATATTCTTTCCTGATTTGTGCAGTTCAAGTGTGTGGTGGTGGGGGGGGAGTTCATTCTTGTGTTTTGATTTGCTAACACTTGTGCTTTGGTTGTAAATCTTCAAGCTCTCTAAATGAGACTGATGAGCACAATTATGATTATTTGACCTCTCAGTGAACCACTATGGTGGCAAATTTCACAGGCCAAGTATAACATCAGGCAAAAGCCTAATCTCTTTCCAACAGCTCTATATTTAAGAGCCTCAGAACTTAATTGGATTCCCCGCTGTTTTCAGTAACCATCAATCTCCCACCAGGCAGAAGGCAAGAGGCTGCTTTCCTTCACTCTCCTCTTTCCCCAAACAGGGTGAATGATGCTGAAAGTCAAGAAGGAGGGTGTGGAAGTCAAACCACCCATTTGATGAAAGGAAATCAAACAGGTTTTTCACGAGTCTTGCTCCACAGAGCTTCTATCCTCCTTAAGTGTGAGTGGCAGGTAGCAGGCAGCCCTCTTGCTAAGGCTGACAATCAATCCAAAATGCATTCAATTTTAGCAAAATCAAGAAGAGTCTCGTGGAACCTTAAAGACTAACATGTATTATGGCATACACCTTTGTCAGCTACAGTTCTATGCATCAAATTCACAAAGCATTATCCTAGTGTAGGGGTGATTTTAAACAGTGAAGTCAGAAGGAAGTGAGATACAAAAAAGGACAGGTGGCGAGAATTACACTATTATCAACAGTGGCAATTCACAAAAATGTTAATAATAAAGACAAAATGGCATCAGTAAGCCAAGTAATGCTTGTAAGTGTGATAAACAATCCTTTGTCCTGAGTTGATGTTACAGTCTTCATCTGAAATTGCTTTGGTTCCAGAGTGGCCACTTGTAAGAAGAGTTAGTGTCCTGGGAAGTTAAAATACCCTTGGGGTTGTGTGTCACTTTGTACATTGTAACTGAATTCCACCTGTCATTCCATTGCACAGCCAACTAATTTGGAGATAGCATTCTGGAGCTTCTAACACCACCATGAAATATCCAGAAATGGGGCACAACAGAATGGTTTCTTTTTGACACAAATGCAGTTGTTCTAGAACAAGCTTCTTGACTCCAGCAGCTACAAAGGTTGGTTCAACAAGTGTCCTGCAAGCTTCAAAGCCATTAAAATGACCCAGGTCCATTTCACTATCTTGAATCTTCAACTTTCATCTGCCTTCTAACACCGTTGTGCAATAATCTCTTTGACAGCTTTAGCATATGCCTTGTTAGGATTGTGCAAATGGTTAGGATTGTGCAAATAGTTTAAATGTCTCATTTGGATTGTATATTAAACTTGTTACTGCTTGAAAAGTTGCATGCTTTTAATTCTGCAAATAGTCTTCAGCAGTATTGTAAGTGGTTATTTTGATGTTGTTATGGCCAATGGGCAAAGCAAAGCAAAACCAACATATCCATCGATCCAAAGAAAGCACAGGAAATGTCTGCTATTTATTAGCATTGCCCCAGATTTCACAAAAGTACTGGCCCAACACCTAAGATTTGTGTTTTCATGATCCAACTTATTCCTGTGACTGCTATTCATTTTAATGGTTTTTAATACTGAATTTTGAATTGTTGCAACCCACCCTGGAACCTGCTGGTAATAACAGCAGTAATACTCATAAATCTGAAAGGTCCGTCAACCACAGGACAAAATGGCACCATGTGTTCCTCCGCCCCATTTAATTTGGATTTTTTTCCAATCTACAAAAATGCAGAAGGGGGGGTGGATCCAACATAAAATTGCATGTCACCTATCTGTGGATGTGCTGAAGTGCATTGGGTGGACAAACACTATTTTTAAATGTTTTGTGTGGGTTTGCCATCTATTACTCTATCCCCTACTACTTCCATTGGTGAGTTGTAGATCTATTAATGGTTTTTCTTCTTATACTAGACGGAATTGTTTTTATGCTGCTTCCCACTCCCTTGATACCATATATTGTTTTTAAATGTACTTTTAAGCTGCCCAGAGAACATAAGAGCCCTGCTGAATCAGGCCAGTGACCCAATTATCTTGCTCTCAGGGTCCAACCAGATTAAAAAAATGACTCCTGGACGGTTAAGTCCAGTCAAAGGTGACTATGGGCTTGCAGTGCTCATCTCTCTTTCAGGCCAAGGGAGCTGGCGTTTGTTCACAGACAGCTTTCCGAGTCATGTGGTCAGCATGACTAAACTGCTTCTGGCGCAATAGGACACCCAGAAGAGTGCCAGAACACACAGAAACGGCATTTACCTTCCCGCCACCTATTTATCTAATAATATTTTATTTATTTATTTATTTATACCCCACTCTCCCCAGCCAGAGCCAGGCTCAGGGCGGCTAACACCAATAAAATTACAATAAAATATAATGGGGGGGGGACAAACAAACAACCCCCCCCAAAAAAAACCAGTTTATTAAAATATGGGTTAAAATACAATTTAAAATGCAGCCTCATTTTAATAGTAGCCCATAAATGAAAAACTAAGGGGAGGGAAACATAAGGGTCAGACTGAGTCCAAACCAAAGGCCAGGCGGAACAGCTCTGTCTTGCAGGCCCTGCAGAAAGATGTCAAGTCCTGCAGGGCCCTAGTCTCTTGTGACAGAGTGTTCAACCAAGTCGGGGCCAGTACTGAAAAGGCCCTGGCCCTAGTTGAGACCAATCTAACCACCTTGCGGCTTGGGACCTCCAAAGTGTTGTTATTTGTGGACCTCAAGGTCCTCCACAGGGCATACCAGGAGAGGCGGTCCCATAGGTATGTGGGTCCTAGGCCGCATAGGGCTTTAAAGGTCAAAACCAGCACCTTAAACCTGACCCTGTACTCCACTAGGAGCCAGTGCAGCTGGTAAAGCACTGGATGAATGTGATCCTGCGGCAAGGACCCCGTAAGGAGCCTCGCCGCGGCATTCTGCACCCACTGGAGTTTCTGGGTCAGCATCAAGGGCAGCCCCACATGGAGCGAGTTACAATAATCAAGCCTGGAGGTGACCATTGCATGGATCACTGTGGCCAGATCAGGGCGAGAAAGGTAAGGGACCAACTGCTTGATACGATGGAGATGGAAAAATGCCATCTACTTGCACT